GAGGGGGGTGGGGGGGTCACCATTTTCACCGGAACAGGCCATTTAACCATCCAAATGATTTCTAAACGGGTTTATTAAGCTGAAAAAGTTGCCAAGTTCCCCTTTAATGTCCATGGAAATGTTGTCTCTTAAAGTAAATTTTCTCATACATAAGATAATAAATTGAAAGCAGTGGCTGCCTAGACTATGGGAAAACCACATCCAGAAACCTTGAAAAGTATATAAAAGTGTCTACAGTAATTTGAGTTATTAAATAACTGAAAGAAATGATAAAACCCTAAATCATCTGTCGGTGAAGTTTTTCAAAACATTAAAATCTGAATTTTTGCATGGTAACAGGAATATGTCCTAGAACAGTGGTTCCCAACCTTTTTCCTTAATGGACACCTGTTCTATCCTTTAGACCCCTGACGCAGTGACATATTTTATGAATATTTCATATTATATTGAACACTGTACAATGAACCCAAATAATAAAGTACAAGAAGTTTGTCTAAAACGGTTATTTCCTGTATTCTGTCTGTATTATGTATTATTTATTTGTTTGTCCCTGATGCGTGGCCATTGTTCGATTAGGTAATTTACTTTACATGAAGTGAACCAAATGCTGAAATAATTCTTACACTCTTAAAATCAAAAGGTATTTGCGATCCCCCATGAAACATTTGGTTTTAGTGGGGCTCCCGGCTCCCAGGTGGGGAACCACTGTCCTAAAACTAGAAACAGGCACACCTAAGGCGGCAGCAGTGCAGTGTGCGATCATGAAGCCAGAGTTCAGCCCTCCATCCTGGACAAGGAAGGCAGGCAGTTCACTGAGGGCCGGGTTCACCAGCCTCTCAATCCTCCTCTCACTTATACTGGCCAGCTCGTGCACACCTATGGCCAGGTAGTCCAGGGCCTGAAACAGCAAAGCCACACCCAATGTTCAGTCCAAAACATTTACTAAAGACCAGACAAGCCAAAGTGGAAGTGGTGGTGGTCATGTGATGCCCCGATGTTTGGACATTTTTTAAATTATCAGCATTTTCCACTGTGTCATTAGCTAAGATTATACTTGGTGTCCTGCCCGAGCTGCCAGTGGGGTATGAAACATTGCCATAGAAAGACACAATTTATGAGCATTTAGCTGCTGACTCTGTGTATGTCCACTTCTCTCCGCATGCTGTCTGCCAACCCAAACACTATCACCCACACAGGCCAGGAGGAGACAGAGAGATAGAGGAGGATAAAGGACCATAAATCTCAGACCTCATTAGTTAGTTCAGTGTGACTTTACCTTGGCTGGATATTCTCCATGGAAATTCCCACCAGATATTGTCTCCCCAGTTTCTGCAAATACCAGCTAGAGATGAGTTAAGGGATCAACGAGTCAGTTTATTGTAGTTTGTCAAATACTGTCACCTTGTGGTAAAACATTAATATCACATTCTGTAAGGGGATAATACCCTAAATTACATTCCTTAAATACCCTGTAAATGAAATGTGTCAGGGATAAGGAGGTCCGAGGAAGACAACAGGTATAGTTTATTCTTCATAGGTAAATATTCAACTCCTATAAATCAGTGCTTACAATAATTATTAAAGGAGTTTTAACTTGTGACTCATTTAAATTTATAAACTGAATTATTAAATGCAGCAAATCTAAAGATTAAGATTAAGACACCCTTCAAACTATTTTGATGGCATGAGCTTTTGTTTGTAGAAAAGGTCTGAGTTTAACCTATTTCAGTCTATATGTTGCTTTAAGCCCTTTATTCTCAGTGTTCTAATTTTGATACTTCCACTGGAGGGCGCCAACGTCAGAAATTTGTGTAAAAGGTCCAGTGTGTAGGATTTAGAGGCATATATTCAGGTGATTATACATTAATGAAAACATATCTATG